TCTCGATTACTGTCAATTTTTTTGCGACAATTTGCTCATTCGCTTTGCGAAGTAAATCAGCCGTAACTTCATGCGTCCGAAACACACCGAGCGGCATTGCTCAAACGTCAAATTAACCACAACGCGTCGGTTGAAGCCATGCAATTTGCCCATAATTGGAAATTCCAATGTTTATTCTTCCTACATCCTGAGTCTACTCTTATAGGATAACTAGAATAAGTATGAAGTTACGACTTTTTAAACTAATTGGCGCGAATGTTGATTCAATTAGTAGTTAAGTATTACGGAATGAGGGAAATGTAAAACAATGTGCTTTAATTCATTATTTTGCTAAATGTATTATTTATATTTTACATGTAAAATGTATGCAAAACATTATCACATCATATTAAGAATTTAGTGCAAAATATAATTCAAAATAAAAGTAATCGATTTGTATTTTTTTCTGAAACTCTCTTAGAAATTTTTATTCAATACATTTCTAACATCAATTATATCTTTCGTCATCATGTCAGAAACATTCCAGTTGAATAAATCATTCGTACATAAAAATTGAATACTGAAAGGTAGTGATTAATTATTTATTTTAAATATTAAAAGCACTACTGTTGTTCAGTGTTTTTAATACATAAAATAAATAATTTTTAATGTTAAATTGGATTTTTGTAAGAAAAATATATTTAAAAATAAGAAATGACAATTTTGAAGTAACAGTTTCATGTAAAAGGTAAAAATATCTTTAGAATTTTTCAAGCAGTTGAATGTAGTAGTTACTTATAAATTAACCCGTCAGCAAAAGTATATAAGTATATCCTTTTGTAAGTTTTTGGCCAAGATCCAGCTATGGGAGGAGGCCAGCCATAAATGTCATTGAGTAAAGAAAGATACAAATGACGTTAACTTTTGCGCGACATTCTTCTCGACTAACTATCCTCAGTATGTTCAAAGAGGCTACCTCCGATGTGCCAGTTTAAAATCTCATTCATTTTCGCGCTAATAGCCACGGAAACTTCAGCCGCGCCGTAAAACGAGTTTCCGGGACATTCTCTTATTCACGTGTTGACACGAAGCTACGGCTCTTTCAGAGCGCTGTTTCAATTAAAAGTTCGAGAGGATTTTTTTTTTATCTTTTTCATCCGCTTATGTACGATGTCATCTCGCCGTGGTCGCAAGTTAATGAGTACGCTTAAATATACCTACTACTCTTCCATTTTCTTCAGAAGCTCGATTCTCTGTGATTCTCAGCGATTCTCAGAAAAACAAACCGTCAAATATACCGATTATTTTACAAGATGTACTTTGCGTGACATAAATTTGAGAGAGCTAACTCTTCTTCTTCTTCTTCTTCTTCTTCTCTTTTTTTCGCGGAAGCAACTCCTTTTCACGGGAAATGGAAGTGTTCCTTATCGCGATTACGAGTCCATTTATCTCACATAATATATATATATATATATATATATATATATACGATGAAGCGAGAGCGAAAAGTTTGCTGTAATCGTTAACATGATAATAGTATTGCGCGAATTATATCTGAGTGAATTTTTCGCATTTAAGAAGAATTTCTCGTATTTCATAGTATGATCGGCTTATCCGTTTGTCTCGTGGAAATTCTGAGGAAGAAAGATACGATAACGAAATTTACCGTACTTCATCTTTACTCTCCTTTGATACGAAACGTGATCTCTAGTAACAGTAACACGACAGCGGTATCGTGTATCGCATCTTTTCTCTAGCGTGCACGACAAATTTCGAGGGTATCGTTGAACGGAGATCAAACAGTGTGACATGCAAAATTATCGATTTAATAGATCGTTTCAGATCGGTCTTATAAATATCCCGTGGGATGCAGGAATACCATACGACTTGACAATTTTTCACAACATTTTATTTCGCACTTTTTTCTCTTTCTTTATAATCTTTATATAAATTCCATGATGATTTTATCTTTACTACTTTTTTTCTTATTTGTACTACTTAACGAGAATCGACGGTGACAATTGCATTGAAAGTCGTTGTCAAAATACGAAAGTTTGAATGCATGAACTGCAGGGAAATGATACACGCCAATTTTATTCAGATAGAATGCGATTACCGAGATAATCCTAAAATCCAGTGTCCGAGCAAACATAATTACATATTACGGATTACAACGATTTGTGCGACAACTCTCGTGGCTTGGCGAGATAAAAGCGAAAAATCCTGACAACGGAAATACCGTTTGTGGTGGAAATGCACACGATACGTTTAGTAGCACACAACTTTGCGAAGAAAAAGAAGAGATAAAAAGAGGAGAAACGAAGAGAGAGAGAGAGAGAGAGAGAGAGGGGGAGAGAG